TTTTTTTTTTTTTTTTTTTTTTTTTTTTTTTTTTTTTTTTTTAATAACGACGTAAAAAGTTGACCGAAAAAAAAATGTAAAGCGCATGCGCGATAGGGTGGCCGCCTCGTTCGAGAGGCGTACTATTAAAAATGCGGCGGCCGGATGCTTTTCATAAATATGAAATTTGCAATTTTCGACTTAACAATCAAGGCGGGAATGTCGACAGGCGCGGGAGAACTGCCGAGATAATCCAAGCACGTCGGGCAGTTAGCGGCGTTGTTAATTGCATTAATTAAAAGCGACTACGGAGGAATCGATGGTAACTTGGTTATCTTGGCGATAGCACTGATGGTCCAGGGCTCAGCATACTGCCACGAAACGTCTTCAGAAATATTACATCGAAATTGTTTAAAATTTCAAGCAAGATGTAAATCAACATTTTACTTCGTCTATGCGCCATTAAGCACGCGCTTCTTCAAGAATATATATATATATATAGTATTTTAACGACGTTACGTAGCGGAACTTTTGTTAAAGCCCATCAGGAACTATAGAACTCATCGAGAATTATTGAAAAAGCCTACTGTTGAAACATTTTTAAGAAATTTTTGAAAAAGTGCGGTGCTGGAGCTGACACCCGTGTAACACCTAAATTTTGGAAAAATACATATATGAAATACATATATGTTAAAAAAAAAGTCATTCCGGAACAAAAAGATCATTGACAACTGGACAATTAATCATCCCAGCCACGTGACACGATCTACACTTTCTGACCAGTTCGAAACGCTACGTAATCATCGACCATTGCCAATTGATTATCAGTGCTATTGTAAAGTCACTGGTATTAATAATAGGAAGGTGATAATAAAAAAAAAAAAGATTGCCGGAATCATTGTGGTTATTTTCAAGGGATAAGAAATAATTTATATATTATTATTATGTCATTTGGTATCATGAGTTGCAGAACCTAATCAAGGTTTTGGCATTGACTGTATATATCGTGGTGACAGACAATGACTCGACTGGCGATTTGACTGTATTCCGAAATTTTGATGTTAGTTATTAAATAATGTCGAAATATATTGTACAATTTCATATATGTGTTATATGATGATTCTATAGATTTGTAGTGACTAGGTTTCACGATCTGGATTATACTGTACTGATTATACTGTACAGATGAAAGCTGGCCAATGATTTGACCTCAATACTGGACCAGTCAAACGAGAGTCGCGAGCCTGGATTGTCGGATAAATCCTGAGCTTAATTGGTAACCCATTAATTTATTCGAGTCCTAAGCTCGTCCGCCGACAATTCTGAGACCTGATTTATTCCTTCTTCTCTTAGCCCCAAGGTAAGAATATTTAAGCCGCACCGGAGGCGTTCATTTTAATTAACACCAGTCATGCTAACTTCCGGAAGCTACTTTCGCAGATTGAATAAACTCACTCCTCGGACATAATACGTATCCTAAGAAAGGTAAAATGGAATCAAAAATATATGGATCGGCCAGACTGTATTTTCATTTCAAAAATTGATTTTGAAAAAACGAAGATGTACAAGTCAGTTGCTCGACATAAAAATGCAAATTTTTTAGAATAGACGTGTGATATTCTTTTATTTTTATCGCTTCCGTTTTTTGTAGTACGAGACGCGCGCGTCGATCTGGACTGTAAAAAATAATAATTGAAAAATATTCGTTCTTCACGATTTGAGTTGCAAAATGGTTTTTTCGATTAAGCGATTATTTGGGATTCAAGTGACTAATTTACATGGTAAACCCATCAAGAGATGTCCCCCATTCTTCGACGCTACCTGAATTCAAGTGATTTTGAGAGGCTGGCCGAACCATGGCGGTTTTCAGTGGACCAGAGAGGCGGGCGAGCAGCAGACAACAAGTCGGAAACTTTCAAGCTCAATTAAACTCAAAGAAACTTGGAGAGACGTCGTACGGCAATGGGAGCAGACGGACGCTTTGAGTTTCCTTTTAGCCGCGTCCAGTGTTCGGTGCCAATTTACGAGTGGAGAAGCGAGCCGGGGCAAATAAAAAGAATTAGAAATAGAGCTGACCTACCCCAACGGCACCACCTAGCCTACCGCAAGCACTGCTGGAGTATAAAGCTCGTTAAATCTCTGGCTAACTAAATTCAAACCCACTTTTCATGAGAGTATTGTTGTAGCGTAAAAAAAAAAAACTTTAAATTCTCCAAATTTGTACCTCCTCTTGGGGGATTTAAAAAAATAAGCTTGTTTTCTAAAAATACTTGCTCCACTTTCTATTGACTTTTGCTCAGCTTCCCGTTAGAATGTTCAAGAGGAAACAAAGAAATTACGGTTTTACCCAGAAACATAAAACTGATACGTGCCAGTACTAGGGTTCAGGTATAGTTGACAT